GTCTTAAAGCACTATAATGTAACATGCAAAGATCTGTAGCAGTTACTAGTCATATTTTTCAAATAATTTTAGAATCATGTATTGATATAACTCTTTTGCAAGAAACTTACATCTACCAAAATATAATTATTGGTGCTAGCAGTTCACATAAGGTATTTCTATCATTAAATAAATTAGCGGCTATTTCATATACTAGTCATCTTTCGCCATCTATCACTTCAGTTACGGAACACACTGTCACAATTCAACTGATTTTCCTCGACCGAACAATTCAATTCACTTCCATCTACTTCCCTCCGGCTGAGGATATAAATTTAGGCACACTGGAATTAGAACAACTTCCTTTTCCTGGAAATAGCACACTTAAATTTATAGAAAGAGACTTAAATGCCTCCAGTCCTCTGTGGGGTGCTCAAAACGAAAATGATAGAATACATACTATTTATGATCTCCTTGTCACTCAGCCTCTCCATGTCTTTAAGACTAAAGACCCCCCTACTTTAAAAACATCCAGAGCTGAGGAATGATTTGATCTAACTCTAGTGAACAATCACGCAATCAGGACTGGAAAGTACACGATCGAATTTCTATTGACACTCTTAGTGTTTATCAAATAATCACCTATTATCCTTCTGTCACATACTCAACGATTGCAAAAAGACGCTATAAAAAACGTTATTGTGCCATAACCTGTTTATCAATTTAATTTCCTCTGATTTAAGAATATTTAAAGACCAATTCGAAAATTCTACAAAATACTACAGGGCCTTGACGTGGCATATGTCTGCCTTATAAATTGCTTGATGAATGCATACAATAAAAGTTTTAAAAAGAAGACCTTTACCACAATTAATAAAACACCACGGTGGAATGGAAAGTTGAAGGCACAATGTAAAACCTGTGCACTGATCAGAAGAGGACAATTTTTATTCTACAGATTCAATTTTAATTTAAAATCTACAAATTAAGAAGCCCTTGATGCGGCATATGTCTCCCTTATAACTTGCTTAATGGATGCACGCAATAAAAGTTCTAAAAAGAAGACCTTTACCACAATAAGTAAAACACCATGGTAGAATGCAAAGGTTTAAACACCAATGGCTAAAACCCGTGCACTACCCTCAGAAGAGCATAATTTACCAAAGAACTAAATTTGCGCACTTGTTATTTTGCAGCACACGAAAAAGAGCAAACTATTAATAAAAGGGAAATCTTCAAAACGCCTCATGGTAGAATTTAATGAAGTACAATTAAAGACACATTTCACCCAGTCTTTAAAATAGCTTCTGATCACTACTTCAGACCTAGTACTAGTCCACATGGAGAGTTCACAAATGCATCTGAAAGTCATTAAAATATGAAGAAGTCATTAAATATCTCTTTCGAGCAGACTTGAGTAAAGAAGAATGAGTAAGGTAATTCATTTCCATTATGAATTAACTCATATCATCTCTAAACTAAATATAAAGAAAGCTCCAGGACCTGATGGACTTGACAATCTACTTATCAAAATTTTATATCAAGATCTTCCAGACATTATTCAAGCATTCATAGAGGCCTGTTGGCGAATCAAACACACAAACAGACAAAAGGATTTGCTCGCAATACTTAGTTTACTAGACATTTAAAAGTGCATTTGATATGCTTTGGTGGCCAGACTTGCTTTATTCACTAGACAAAATGTATTACCTACCTAATCTATTAGATTTGATTAAGAGCTACTTTAAAGATCGGACGATACAGATTACTACAAACGGAGGAGTAATAGATCATAATGTTTCCACAGGATGTCCTCAACGCTCATGGCTTGGTTCTCTCTTCTGGAACCTGGTTGCTAACTCTGTGTTCAATGATTTAGAAAGAGTGAAATTTATTATTTTATGTTTCAACACAAAATTATTCCATATTTATTAAGCTTTGCTCGCACTAACAAGTATTTTTGTTTTATGCATATGATTCTTTATTACATAAAAAATAATTTTTTTTCTTACATTTCACTCTAAATTATCCATAAAGATTACGAATACGCCCTCATTAATTTATTTATGGTACTTATCATATATATGAACACTTAATCTCGTATGTCACTGAAAATCATCACAAATATTTTCATATTGTCTGAACCGTTTTCTCTTACGCATATATTATATCGATTACTCACTATTGTCTACTGAACATGACTACTCACTATTGATTTTTAATTATTATCTGCTGATTTTGAATATCGCAATGACTTTTGTCTATTAATTATTGACTAATGACCATAGACTTGCTAAGATTATTGACTACTGACATTTCACTAAGGACTATTTACTTTGAATACTGACTTTCTCAAGACTACTGACTAAGAATATGACTTTACCACTGATCATAAAATTATTATTGGCTTCCGATTATCATTCATCGGCTATGATTATGAGAATCATATGAAATGACTGTGATATAAAACTTTCTCATGACTTAACTGTTGACTAACATAACTACGAAGATTTTTGTATCTATGCTCTGTATTTATACTTACAAACTTACTCAAAATTGTGGCCATGTATTTACTTATTATTACTAAATAGATGCCATTTTCTCTGCCAACTCGGCTGTGGCTGTGGTTGGTAGATAGTAGATATTATCCTCTGAAATGGCATTAAAACTCGATTGGTACTTCAAACTTAGGACGGATGCCACCTCAGCGGTTCATTGGTTCACTAGTGTTTCGTTTTTATATCACATGTACCAGTTTTCGTCCCATTTCGATCAGAGATTTGAAAAGTATGAAGAACACATGTGAAGGAAATGATTTTATCATACCGAATTCCTGAACACAGTTACCTGATTCAGATCGTTCTTCCTTCGCTTTCCTTTGGATATTTTCCCTAAACTTTGGAAGCTGTTTTTGGTAACCATGAGCAGAGATTTCAGAAAAAATTGCCCACTTGGAAAAAAAGGACGGTGGTAAATGTGTGTAGACCATTAGATTTTTTTCAATGCAGGACACATGAAAAGTCAAATGTGTCTTCGCCGGAATTCAAACCACAGATCTTCCACTTTGCTGGCTGAATGTGGTAAGTACGTGAACCATTTTCACCGCAAGAGTGCGCACGAATACAAGTACGGGAAGAAAAAGGAAAAAAAAATTCAGAAATTCACCACTGGTCGTGCATAGTCCCGCCGCATTAACTGTGCAGTTCCAATCCAATTCCACTCGGGGGTGGTTTGTGGGTTTTCTAGCCCCTTTCCGTTCTCCCTCGAAAGAGCTTATGGCTAGCTGTGTACTTTAGTTTTCTTGCACAGACTTTGTACGCTTACAAGTATACATGATTTCTTCGGGATTCGAGCATGGGGCCATCGAAACGGCAGTCAGCATCACTAACCACTATACCAGAATGGCTGTTGGAGAGTGCACACGAAGGGGCTACAATGATTACGTACAAATAATACTCCTATATGACAGCTAAAAACTGTCGCACTTTTTAACCTAAAAGTTCAGACAGACAGAAGAGACCACCTCCCAAAAAAATTTTCAGAGTTCAAACATACAAAGGAGACCACCTCTCCCCAAAATATGTCGAATATAGGTACAGTTTTTTGTAATTTCATTTTAGAAAAGGCAGATAATAATTATCATTTAAATGTGAAGTTCATTTTAGATTGAAAAATGAATAACCACTTCGTTGTTAAGTAATTGTGCTTTCATGTAGTTCCTTTGTTCCCTTAAAATAAGCGGTTGCTAATGAAATTAATGTCATATTTTGATCCAGCAGTGTAAATGCTATAAGAATTATTGTTATTATTATTATTATTAAAAAACACGGAGAAAGAAAGTTTCGAAATGCAAAATAGTGCTCCTAATTTTTCTCTTTCTTTAGTCACATTATTTGCCTTTGACATGTATATAAAATTTAGCAGTGTTAATTGCAGCTTGCAATTCCTTCATGCAATCTTATAATGAATACATAATCAGCTAAAAAATACATTCTATGAAAGACTCACAATCGTACTTTGTGCGAAAGTAACCTCTGGATGATATTGTTTTTATAAAATATCGAATGATATCGGACTCAAAGACCATTCCCTCGTAAGAGATTGCTCTGTCATATTTAATGGGACTGATGTTATTAGTATCTTAGAATCCTTTACTATTAAAGACAGTTAAGATTAGAGGATGAATTGTTACATTTATATCCTTAAAGATTATAGCATTTCCCTTAGTTCAATTAAACAATTATTCAAATTTTTGTTATCGTTTGTGAACTCCTCAACTTTCACTCGCATTTCCTCGCCAGGGTGCAAATTTAAAGTAAAGTGAGGTGAGTATTTATTCGAGTGAATCTTGGAGTTTATTTAGATCACGTTTTCTCTAGGCAGCGCACGTTACGAGTCTGTCCTTGCTGTTAAGCGGAGTTGCTGATACCCTTTTTTGGCCATTTAAATAATTAACACGCCGAGTAGGTTGTCGAGTCAACCTAGTTAGCCTTAGCTTAAAGTACCAGTCCATCACTACTCTTTAGCCTTGAATTTATTGTGTAACGATTCTTAAGTTCCACCACAAGTTGACGGCGTTATTGTAAGTTACTGAAGTACGTGCCTTTCTGTTCAAAGTTGAATAATAATAAAGGGTTATTTATACCCTTCTTCTGTATTGGTTTACTTTACGCCTGTGCGAGAAGTCTCTAGGTTCCTTAGTTGGATCTAGGAGAGTTTACCTGGCCAAAGAGACTACGATCCTACAAAATGTTTAAGAGAAAATCAAATTTCATGCACCTGTTCAGAGCTCAGTTACTTTCACATAGTTATAATTACATTTAAGGTGCATTCGTAATGACTGTTCATTGACAGTCAGTGTAATGCTCATTGAATTATTACCAAACAAACATTATTTGCGGATATGTAACAGAATATAGACACATTTTCGGGCTCATTTTCCTTTCACTGCGCGATACATTTTCGAAATATTCAGAAGCTTTAAATATACTAGAAGAATATATATAGGTCTTCCACTGTACCTTGGATTATCTTCTGTAACAGTTTCCTTGAGAAATTCCAAAAAGTCATTGCAGAAGTTATGGCAGACATTTGGATCCCAAAATCCCTAAGAAAGATACTACACATTAGTAAACAGAGTATTTTCCTCAGCACAGATTTATAATTAATTATTGATATACATTGCTCGACATTGAAAATGCAACACCAAGAAGGAGTGGTTAGAAATTTATGCAAATTTTAGAGTAGACGCACGTCACTGAGTAATGTGAAATGCGCAGCTTTCCGACGCACGTTAAGTAAGATACAGTCAAAAGTCGTTAATCCGGACTCGTCGGGACTTCGGCGATTCCGGATTATCGATTTTTCTGGATTATAGATCATCAATTTAAATCTGGTAAGATGGCATGCAAAAATTATAAAATCAAAAATATGAAACCGTAATTTATGAAATAAAGAACAATTATGATCTAAAGGGTATCAAAATTTACAAAAGCTTAATATTTATTTGTTTGCTTTATTAAACATTTCTTTCAATGTAAGTTGTTTAAGTTGCTTCGTTTTTTATGTGATAATACTTTTTTCTTTAATTCTATAAACAGACATAATTTCTTGTTCAGTTACAAAGTTCCGCTGTTCAAGTCCTATAATTGCTGTGTCGAGAATACCGACTAATTTGTCAATCGAAATTTTTTCGTTTTCAATAATCTCTGTGTCATTTTCTTCGCCATCGGAAGCGATTTATAATGACGAGGAATTTCATTTAAATCATATCAAAGACGGAGTACATCGAGATGAAATACTACATTTAGTAAGGAATTATAAGCCAAATAAAATAAAAACATCTGCCCTGAACCTAAGGATAGTGCTGACGGATCAACTTCCAATTCATTGCGCGCCACAGAGCAGCGTGAAATCGATAAACAGATTTCGGAATGGTTAGATAAACAAAGGATATGCCTTTATCTATTTTTTGAAGCAATTCCAATTTTTGTTTAATGGACTTCGAAACATACTTTCGCTTTGTAGATCCTTTACATATTAGTAAATATATATCGGAAATTCTATTTGACATAATCGAAAGTTCAAGCTTACTTTTATAAAATTTCTCTAACAGTCTGCAAAAAATAATAAGCCGGATCCAATTCGAAGATTAAGGAATAACCGAATCTGCAACATTAAATGAATTAGATAATTTTAGCTTAGCTTATACCGTCCGTTATACATTAAACGCGCATGCGTAAACGTATTTTGCGCATGCGCGTTTAATGCATAACAGACGGTCACTTGTATTTTGCGCATGCGCACACGCATATTCGCAGCAGCCTTAAAGGTCTTACGCGCATGCGCCAACGCTTCGCATGCGCAGAAAGTTTGTAGCTTTGAGGTCCGGATTATAGATCATTCCGGATTATGGGTGTCCGAATTAACGACTTTTGACTGTATAAGAGAAGGAACGTGCAGAATCGGCAATATCCGTGTCGTTATTTCTGCCAGACGAATTATCGAAGAAAGTTGGCTTTTGTCCCGGAGGATACGTGTAATAGGAGAGAATGCCAGGCCGCCGTCAACCAAGGCACTTCCAGCAGATAGACGATTTTACGAGGGGTATGGTCAGCAGACTGAGAAGGGCGGGTTGGTCCTTACGTCAAATACCCACATGGATGCGAGCACGGTGCATCGGCTATGGCGAACATGGTTGGAACAAGGAAATGTGGGAAGAAGGAGGGGTGCAGGAGTGACGTCAGCATGCGTGGATCGACGCATCCGCCGACAATCTGGGGCGGTCCCGCAAGTCACTTGTACCGCGATTCTGCAGCATGTGCAAGATACCCTTGATGTTCTCGTGTCGACTAGAGCCATTTCAGGTCGATTGGTTGAACGTGGCCTGCATTCACGGCGTCCGTTAAGAAGACTGCCATTGACCCCACAGCATAGATGCCAACGTTTAGAATGGTGCCGTACTGGAGCTATGTGGATGACAGAATGGCGAAACGTCATGTTCTCAGATGACTCACGCTTCTGTTTATCCAATGACAGTCGCCGCATACGTGTGTGGCGTCGACGTGGAGACATATCTAATCCGGCAGCAACTGTGGAACGCCCCACTGCGCGGCAACGTGGCATAATGGTTTGGGGCACTATTGCCTACGATTTCAGGTCACCTCCAGTTCGTATTCAGGGCATTATGACGGCCCAACGATACCTGGATAATGTACTGCGGCCGGTGGCAATCCCCTACCTTCAGGGGCTGCCTAATGCAATTTTTCAGCAGGATAACGCTCAACTACACAGTGCTCGCATCTGGCAACATGCTTTGCAAGGTGTACAGATGCTTCCCTGGCCACCGTACTCTCCTGACCTATCACCAATCGAACATATGTGGGATGTGATTGGACGCCTTTTGCAGACTCTGCCCCTGCCTCGTTCAGAAGACGAATTGTGGGAAATGGTTGAAAGGGAATGGAGAACCATCCCTCAGGACACGATCCGCATTCTTATTAACTCTATGCCTAGACGTGGTCCTACATTCTACTGAGCCGACGCCGTTCTCGCTCTGTATTCTGACTAATCATTTTGAATAAAGATCACTTATTGCTGCTTGCTGTCTCTGTCTTTTTCCCAAATTTCATCACTTTCTGACCACTCCTTCTTGGTGTTGCATTTTCATTGTCGAGCAGTGTATTTAAAATATAGTTTACCGCAAACAGTTTTTTTTTATTAAATTTTAATTTAGAAAGATTTCTAATTAATAATCTTATCTAAGTAACTATTACTTACAGTGTGGCCAGAAAATCTCTTTATACGTGTAACAGTGTAAGCTGATAAGATAATAAAGCTTTGAATCTTCTATCCTGATTAGTGCTATGGAAACAGTGCTCCTCACGTGAATTTCAACGTGACTGCCCGAGGAGGAGAACAAATATGACAAGTTCATTGTCTCTGTGCTTGGTGAGGGAAAATGGCAGATACCAGGAACTTCACTTTGAAAAAGAGCTTAGTGACAAGTGTGCGAGTGCATGAACGGAAGCACAGGAATGAAAATATAACACAATGGATGGACAGGTTCAGTAAATAGCCTCCAAGTCGTCAGACTTTGATCACGCGGTAGAAGAAAGCTTTGTGCGGGGTGACTGAAGAACGATGGTCCGTACTCCTTTCAGGGTTCCGTGCCAGGTTACTTATATGGAGACGCTGAAAGACTGGATTCTTCCATAGCTACAGAATTTTAACATCAATCACACGGATTGTTTATCAACACGGAGCTCCCGCCCACATCGTACTTGCTGTTCGTGAACGCCTGAATGAACTATTGCCTGGCCGGTCAATAGGACATGGATCCCTAAGTTCACCAGCCCTTATCCTTTGCTGCCTCAAAATCCAGACATTATGACATTCAGACAATGCCATGTGAGATATAATCAAACCATACGTCAGGAAGCACAGGTAAGTGGACAATAATGCTTTGTAGGTAACTGTGCTTGAAGTCTTCCAGCATGTGACACTGCTGCGGCTAAAGCGGGTGAGTAGGAAGACATTCAAGCGTATCAAACCGTGCAGTGATAATGGTGGTGTACATACGGACATTTTGGACAAATAACTAAGTATTGGGTAAATAACTAAGTATTATTAAAGTTGCAATGAAATAATTGCATGTGTAAAGGGATTTTCTGGAATGCCCATTCCATCGAGTAAAATTCACTTTTCATTATATTCAGTTACACAGTTACGAGTATGCAGACGTTTCAGATATTTTAAGCGATTAAAAATTTAGATTAATGTACAACTTGGCTTGATCATACGTGCATCCGAATTCTATCATTTTGATGAAAGCATCGGAGTCATCTCAGAGCACGCAATGCATGTTGCGAATTGTCAATAAATTTTAAATTTTAGAAAAGAAGTTAATTTTTTAACTAAATCGTATAGCAAAATCCATGTAATTTATCTTCTAATATACAGCTTTGCAATAAATCATGGATTTTATTTAGAACCAGAAATTTAAAAACAAACGAATTGCGTGCTCTCGTGTCTTTCTGTCTAACTACAGAGTGCATTCTTTCCAGCACAGCATTCGGATGACGAATATTTTAAACTTGGGCAAAAGGAACTTCTCCATTTTCCTCCTTTCTTTCTACAAGACGCCAATGATAGCGAAGGCGGACCAAGATATTTCGATTATGGAGTACCTTTGCAATTAAATGCAATTACCTCCACATCATCGTTAATAAAGATTGAATAAAATAAAAAAGAGCGTTCGAAGAAGGCATTATGGGATGTGATTTTACAGCATATATCTGAAAGAGACTGTTCGTTGTTTACCATTGAATTTACTGCGGTTTATTTATATTTTTTACGTAGGGCGAATTTTTTACTTAAGGTTAACACTATATTGTAAAATCGGTTAAGCATGGCCTATTTCTGGGTTTTTCAAAATTCCGCATGGTAATGTATTACATCTTAATAATTAAATTGAACAAGTTTTCTACAAATTTGTAGCTTGACTGACAATTAAACATTAGTTAATTAAAACTCTATCAACAGGCGTTTAGTTTCTTGGAAATAAAGCAAATTATTTAAAAATAATAATCATTAAAGAATATGTGCAGTAAATGTAAAACCACGTCACACTTTCAAACTATGCAATGCAAAATGTAATACAATTATTCAATAGATAATTTTTTTGCATTGCATAATTTTAAATGAAAAAAAAAATGCAGCGCAAAAAAATTAGGAAGTGAATAATTTAGGTGTTGAAGAAAGGTTTTCTTTTTATACTGGTCAATCTTTTGATACTGCACAACCAAATACGTGGAGTAAGGATGAATTCAGCAATTTCAGTGCGTTAAAATTACCTATTTTAAGGCACAAAAATATCGTTATAATCAGAGCTTAAATTGAACCACAGTCCGGTTGTGGTACATCTAAATTTTTGAATGAAGTCGAATTTCAGACACATCGAACTGAAGCTCCAAATAAGATGCAGTCTGATACTTTCTGTACCGCAACGTTGATAGAAAATTCTGTTATCAATGCAATATTTCATTCAGCAGTTAGTAGAACTGATATTGGAGCTTATATGCATTTCTCTCACCTTCTTGGCATGCCTTCGGGGTGTGGTGGTCTGCACGCTGGGCGCGTATTCCACAGGTCCACGGTTCGATTCCCAGCGAAGGCGTTGCTAACTTATCACCTTGCCTGCTACCAAATTACCGAATGTCTCTACAAACTAAACACTGAATTAATGATTTAGTTTCCCCGGGAACAGAAAAATGGAAGAAACTGAGAACTGAAGAAGAAATTCTTTTGCGATCTGAAATGCCAAAATGCGATCCTATCATGATGAAATATTTGTCAGCTACTCATCTGGACAAAATGTTCAAAACGGGTTAAAAGCGAAAATAAATATGCAATTTGACCTGAATGCAAATAATATTGATAAAAAATACTTAGCTCTCTTTTATCCTAGGTGTCATGTTTTGTTTTTGGACTGTATATGATCATATATTACACTGGACTACATTCCGAATAGATTGTATTTCACTGAGATTTTATCAACTTACCGAGAGTACTGTAGTGTCCTCTCCGATTCTTGTACTCAGGTAAGTAAAGGCTGCAAGCCGTTTTGATTTACATAAGGCATGAACAATATTCGATAATTTTGGCACGTAACTTTAATATTCGATAACTTTGGCATTAAATATGAAATGTTTTGCCTAATTTCTTAATTTCCTTTATAGAATATTACTGAAAATAATACTTAATATAATTGAGAATGATTTTATGATAATCTGAATATGTTATTATTATTAAATGATTATGGTTACTTAGTGCTCACAATCATCAAATTTTTCATTTTGCTATAATATAAATTCTTACGTAAGAAATTATATTAGCATACTATTATTATTCTAGATTTCAAAAGGAAGAAAAAGCAAGATTCTCTGCTGAATACCTCCCTCCGTTTTCGACTTCTTTAGCTTCCATCGTATTACGGTATACGGTGGAGGCGGAAGAATTCGAGAATAGGATGGGCAATCATAGTTGTTCGTTATTGTTAAGAGATATTTATGTTTCAGTGATGGGTAAAGGCATACCTAGTTCCAGCGTAACTGTAGCTCTAATAATAATGAGAATAACTAAGGAGAGTTTGTTGTGCCCTCAAAATTTAGGTATAGATAGATGAAAAGGACAACCTGCTGTCAAGCTAAACACCTTGCAACAAGCACCTTGCAACACCTTACGTTGTGTAATTATTCAGATTATTCGGAGTTGTTCAAACTCACATGGAAGCCATTGGAAAATTACGAGCTCCCCATCAAGCGAACAATTCTCCAGAAACTTTCAATATGCATGATTCAGAAAATATCCCTGGCTGGTGTATTTTAAAGTAGAAGATGTGGCACACTGCAAATATTATGCATTTTTTGCTAGGACTTATGTTACAAGTATATCTTCAAAGCCTGTGAGCTGTTTGGTACAAGAAGAATTTAATACATGGAAACGCGTCTTACAATATTTTAATAACGGTGCTCCGTCAAAATAACCCCGAAAAAATAACCAAAAGACTAATCTTTTAACAACTTTACTATTCTTTTAACAATATAATTTGCAGCCAGAAAAAGGAATTGATTAAAACTACAAAACATGTTTTGTTGACTACAATTTGGTTGTTTGAAACAAAATTTTTATTCGAAGGAAAAAAAGATCAGTTTTGTTAAAAGGAATGTTGTTAGCGCTGTTACAAAATTTCTCCAGTTTTACTTTAGTAAACAATTTTTTTTTTTAAAATCTATTTATTAGTCCAAAGGGATTTGAGTCCCGAAGGACTATTAGTTTCGTTTTGGCATTTTGCGTCGGACTCCTATAAATGTCGGTTCACTTTTCAAACTGTTGCCACCGAATGATAGAGTCCTGCACTATGTTTGAAGAAATTAAATAATGAAAAATCTGCATAAATGTATGTATGTTTCTCGTATTGTGATAAAACAACGGTACCTAGAGCCATCGAATTTTGAATGACGTAATCCTACTGCGAATATGGGCATCTGAAATCCGAAATTTGAAATTTGGAATTTGTTTTAGAATCGATTTCATATTTTGTAAAACTTTAACGAATTTTCGAGTAACAACTCAACCATTTAAAAGCGGAGCAATGGCAAAATTCTACGGGAAAAAAATCTTTTTTATCTCCAGCACGTCGAACTGTGTATCGGAAATTCTAAAGATAGGCTCATTTCAAAATTTTTTAAAATTATATTGCGACATTGCTATTGAACTAAATTTTATCGTTTAAGTGCAAAGAACATGACATTTCATAAATAAAGATAACGCAGAAAACGTTAAAAAAACGCCCCTTTGGACGTAATTTAAAATCTGAAACATTTAAGATTTTTTTTAATTTTTTTTAATTTTACAATACTTTTGTTATTCAGTTTTGATATTGTAGCAAATTGTTTTGTAATTGTGCGCAATTCCACGTACCTGGATATGCGATTTATATAAGCAAAAAAATTGTGCCTTGTGGGCAAAGGATTCTTTAGCTGCCAAAAGAGTGATAAGATGAGCGGAGATGGTGCTACTGTCAGAATACGTTTTTCCGCTTTTCAAGTTTTGTTTCAAAATGATCTAAGAGCCTCTTCTCTCATCGAAGTTGTGAAAGTAAGTTAAATTACATGGCACAATTTGATTATATAGTTAAGATGATAGAATTTTAAATTTTCATTTTGACCTTTACATTTTGATTGTTTACATTTGATTTATTTATGGGCTTATTTGCCATAAATGAATTCTCTTTTCTGTTTCTTAAACGAACGTAAACTTGCGAATCATTGTTTGCAATTGTGTAAATTTATATTACAAGTCAGAATCAAAATAGTACATAAATTTTCAAGTTTTTGATTACTTTTATATGTATTTAATATGAAGGTCTGTATTTTCGGGATGGTATTTTTTAAACATAATAGTAAGAGTTATTGATAAAGTATTTATTATAAAGTGCGGCCCTTACACATTTCAACATTTCTTAAGTGGCCCTTAACAGATCTGAGTTGTGCGTCTCTGTCACATAGCATTTGTAAGATTTTTTAATGAAGATAAAATTCAAGAAAACTTCCTGCGTATCTGGATAAAAAAAGATCTTTCTTGGGAGAACTGCAATGGTATTTGTGCGGATGGTGATGCGTCCATAGTTAGCTCCATAAAAGGCATTTACCTCTTGTAAAAGAAAACCAATGTTGTTTCATACACTGTTTTATTCATAGATTCCAAAATCATCTCTTGGTAATGAATTACTTAGAAGTATTTGATAATGATATCAAAATGGTAAACTTTATTAAACGAAAGCCATTTCATTCCAGTATTTTTAATAAGCTCTCCGAAAATTAGGATAAACAACACATAAATCTGTTATTATACACTGATATTCCGTGTTAGAGGCATAGTTTTTAATAGGTTTTTAAGTTAAAGGAAGAAATGCAAGCACATTTTCAGCAAAAGGACAAACAAGATTTCACTATATGCTTTAAGGATCAAATGTGGGTGCAGATGCTAGAATTTTATAGCCGATATTTTTCATCACTTGCATCAACTGAATGAGTTCTTGTACGGCGGTAGAGAAAATATATTAAATTTAAGTGACAAGATTATTGGTTTTAAAATAAACTTATATGGACAGACCATTTTGTAAACAGGTATTTTGATGTCTGAATTAAAAGCGATGATGGATACCAATAATTTCCAAGTTTTATTCTATGCCACCTACAGCAGCTGTCGCAAAAATTATGAAATGTTCTGAGTGCAACAGAACTAGCATACGACTGGGTGAGGAATCCATTCTCTCGCACTTCCATTTATACTTAGAACTTTTAACTATAAAAGAACTACGTGATTTACAATCGGATGGGTCATTGAAACTGAGAATTAACGACATGGTTTAGGCAAATTCAACAAAAAGAAAGAAAAACAACGTAAAGACTCAACTATCATCATTAAAGAAGGTGTTTGAAATTACGACACGAACCTTGATGCAGGAACCCTGCGTCATACATCTTCCATGGATCTTTCATTCGTGATGCATATCTTCCATGCGCCTGAGAAGTGAGAATCACAGTCCCAGGTCGCAATTTCGTAAACCTTCTTTAATGACGATCGTTGTTTGTTTTTGTTCTTATTTGTAGGTTTCTGATGTACTAAATATAACAAAATATGTTTTGTCTCACTTTTTATGTCATTACGTTTTTTACTTTTGTGTCGTCACTATCGCCTCAGGAAAGCTTTCCGACCATGCATTCATATATGACTTCCCATCATCTAGTATCTTTCCTGAAAGTTTGTCAGCGCTGTACTGATACACCCTGTATAATTGCATTTGGGGAGGGATAAACCATTTAAATGATATATATTTTTAGTTTCCATTAATGATCATTAATAAACCTTTTGTGAAAAAATACTATTACATGGACGTTGGAGATTGAAACTTGTCACAAGAGTTCCATAAGACAGAAAAGGTTAGGAAACACTGGTTTAACCCATACGTGTCTTTGAAATGGCTACCGCCTTAAGCAAAACTACACATATTTTAAAATAATCTATTTAATATTTATAAAACAGGTTTATGTTTTTACGGATTGTTCTCGGATTAAACTTGTAGATCATTATTTGTGGAATGTAATATGATAAATATTCCAACGATCTTTTCTCAAAAAATTAATTGATGGATAATGTGATGTCAGAAATCAGCAGAATGTAACAATTTAAATAAAATTCCGACAGAAGAAATTGAAAGAAATTGTGCTTTTAACATTAGTCCAATGTTGGAGCTAATGATGGCTTTTTTTTTTTTTTTTTTTTTTTTGTACTGTACTCTCAGTGTAACAGAATACATTGCATATTACTGCTGTATTCTTTCTATGCAGTATTGATGCAACTCACCTGGCCAATTAAAGGCAATTTAGAAGTTTCATATTCTGCAATCGAATGAACGATTCCGTTGTCATCTCTCATACCACACACAATCTTTTCTACTCCAGCTACGTGACTCTGGGCCCACCACTGCAGTGACTTAAACCTAAATAAATACATTTCCTTTTAAGACATATTTCACTTCAGTAATATTAATCTAATTATGCATGTATATGAAATTTATACAGGTAATTATCTAAATGCGAAAAGAGTAATAGAATACGGAAATATAATATTGATCATATATTGTTATTCAATACAATATATACAACAAATTTTTAGAGCATTTATTGCACAGAGTTCTTTAACCTTTACAAGCAAGAATTTGGATTTTAAACGGCAGTGGCCACGCTTTCTAATTTCATCTAGTGTGCAGCCTTTAGATAGCTTTCGAGCGGAATTTTTTTTAAAAATTCACTGTCCTCTCGCCGGGGAATCGAACCTACCATTTCCACATTATTGGAACGTACAAGCAAACGACACAGCAGACCACACAGGAACAACCGTTTCTTTTAGAAAATAGAAAGATATATTTTTTTCGTTTTATTTATTCATTTTCCATTAAGATTTAAAACTTGCGCAATAAACTTCAACAATAAGTAATACGAAATGCATAGTATAACCGATATAATAGGTATTTTTATGAAATTATGTATAAAATCAAAGATTAAAGTATATTAAAAATAGGTGCTAGCAAATAATACAGTTCGGTAACTTTTTCCCTTTAGAAAATGATTTACGTACCTTTGAAAAGTGGTATAATGATATGGAAGAGTCATAATTTTTGAAGTCTTCAACTCAATATACTTCTTCGTAGTATCTCCATAAGTAGAAAAGTTACTGTCTACGCAGTCTATTTCTGCTGTGAATAATAAAGAATGACGGCCGATCCTGTTGTTCACCACGACTGAGAACTCTTCCACTTGGTGAGTCGTTGATGAAACATTAGGCACCCCGTTTGGTATGGCTATTTAATATACACATAGCATTTAGAAATTTGAAAAAATTTAGCACAAAAAAGCGCCTTTCTTGAAATACACAGTTTGACCTATCGCAATTGACTAGCTAAACATTTTTCTAGGCGTTAAATTGAAATTTACAAACTAAGAACAGATTGCAATTTCTTTTCAACCTTATAATTTTTAAATGTTTAAATATTACTAACCAAAAAGGACCTGACCTAGGATTTTGCTTTGATTTACTATAAGCAGGGTAATTTAAATAACAGCTTTTTGAATTGCTGCCACCAAATACTATCGCCCTGTATTATTTTTAAAGAAATTAAATAATGACGAATCTCCATGTATTTATTTATGGTTATTCCTCGCACTGTGAAAGAAAAGCCGTACCTGAGTCATCAAATTTTGAATAGCGTAGTCCTCCACCCGAACATGTGCACTTGGAGGCCCGAATATTTAAGTCCGAATTTATCTTATTACTTATTTCATATTCTTTTAAATTGTAATGAATTTCTGATTAACAAACTCAACAATTTGAAAGCGAGTGGTAGTAACACTTCGGGGGGGGGGAATTATCTCCAGCATGAAAGACTGTTGCCATTTAGTAAAAAGGTCTTTTAGTTTTAATTAACAAACTGGGCGCTATAAAAGCAATGTTTTGCGCGGCCGGAAATAAAATATTTTAATCTTCCACGCACCAATGTGTTGCGATTCAACAAAGTCTAAGTTGTTTTCAAATTAAATTTGGAAGGTTACCAACAAACTATGCTATTTGAAAGTTATAAATACAGTTCTTAAGAATACTTTTCCTACTTTTTAATATAACTGATTTAAATAAACATGTACTGAAATCATGGTGGTGGTGGTAGTAGATATATGGCGCAAAGCTCTAGAGGCCATATGCGCCAAACGCAGGAAAACTGAAATCATGATATGTCTAATTAGAAATATTCAATATGTTTATTAAATTGCTTCAGCTAGAGTCATTAAAATCATTACATACAACGTTTTCTTATGATAACTATCTCAGGCGGCTGGCTGAACGAGCGGATAGTTTTTAAAGAAAAAATAAAAATACAAAGAATATGTATGGTAACCTCTAACCCTCTATACGGAATTCTAAAGATATGCCGTTATCATTTTGCTGTTGAATTGAATTTTATGTATGTATGAAGAATGTGATATTTAATAAAAAAATTAACACGTAAAATTAATAATAAAAAGATAAAAAAATTGTTAGCCATATTACTAAAAAACTGAATATTGAAATAATAAACTGAGTAAAGGCTGAAAGAAATATAAAAATTCATGCCAACACTCAACACAACATCGGGAATTTTAAACATACGCTGCTACTCAGTTTTTAAAAATTTTGTGATTTTTGTTGAACTGTATGCGGCGCTAGTGTGAAGAAATCGATGCCTAATTAACACACATAAAATGGGAACAAAATGTTTTAGGGAGTGAGTACCAGAGCTGACCGGTAAACTCGACCGGCTGACTGCGAATTTACCGACAGCGCAGAAAACGATAACAAACCCTTTTGGGAGACCGTTAAAAATCGACCTTTATTTTTCTCTAAACTTTAATGCTAAATTTCTCGAGGTGTTTAAATTGTAATAAGAAGTTTTCAAAATGTAATTTTTTTCAACGCTGAAGAGTTATGGCCTTTTAATTGATCTGGTAAGATTTAGTTAGTCCAAAATCCCTAACAGACGTGCAGCGAATTATCGCTATATCTGAAAGTAATAATAAAGGTATAAATAAACTTTTTAAGCAGAATTTAGAACATAAATGCACATTTTTGCGCTAACACTATCAACCACAACTCTTAACTAAACAGAACAGTCAAATTCAAATCAAAATGTAGAATAATACCATAGACTGCACAATTTAAACATACCCTACGCTGACTCAGTAACTCTATCGTTGTATCAAATTCAAATGTCAGCAACGGTAACACAAAGCCGAATAATTATAACTTATCAGAGCTGGCAAGAACTAAACGTAGTGTGCACGCGCAGGTCGGAAAAAGGCTCTGTCTTAAGTTCCTGAAATCTCAGTTTAAATACAAGCTAACTTCATTTATATTCTGGTGAGGAAACGGAAAAGAGGAGTTTAAGTTTACAAAGCCTTTAATGGATGAAAATAAATCATAATAAAAAAGCGCGCAGTACACAGTAGAAATAAAACACGTCCGTTACTTGAGATACACTGTTTACATGACCTTAATATATACAGTAATAATCGAGGAATAGATATGATAAGAATTTTAAGTTAGTTTCAGAGATATGCTTCACTTCTCTTTATAATACCAACTCCTACTACGTGGAAGACCTGACTGAAAAACTTTTACTTCGGCTGAAACTTATTTCGTGGGATTGAAGTTAGATGTCTGGGCATTTCAATTTTAAGTATGATTATTTGTTTGTCTTTAAACGATTTCGTGTCCAATGTTTTTGATGCTAGTATATAAACACGGCCGTAGTATTTTCATAGAGTTAGTTGGACGTATAACAACTTTGCATATAAAAGCAGGCATTCTTACTAACAGCTGTACCCAGCGAGTCTGTGACATTTAGCGACCAGACACTTAACCGACGCGGACAGTCAGCCAACACGAACATTTAACTGAAGCACACTTAGCCGACACGGACATTCAGCTGATGGGATACTTAGCCGACAGTGACATTTAGACAACGGGTCAGTTAACTGGCATGGACACTCAGCCGACAGGATATTTAGTTAACACGGATATTTAGCCCACAGGGCATTAAACCAACATGGACATTTATCCGACAGCACGTTTAGCTGAAAACACCTGCATAAAAAAAAAAAAAAAAAAAAAAAAAAGGAGGGGACAAGGGGGGAAAAAAACCCGCGCGACAATGTTTTAGTAAAATTTGTCCACATTTATCTGAGAAAAAGGTTGTTTCCAACGAGAAGGTTTATAAATAAGTATTACTTTTGTTACTTTATCATCAGACAGAGAAGCAACCTTATTTTGGCTTTACCGATATATAGGTCTTTGTATTTTGCTTTGGTATGGTTTATTTGATTATGGCAAAGCACTCGAGGTCTATCTGCCTAAGGTAAGGGATGCCTTCATGAATCTCTAAGGAAAAGTGGCTCTTACACACGTTACATTGTGAAACCCACGAAAACGCCCATGCTGCCAGCCTGTTCGCCGGGATTCGAGCCACGGACCGAACTACCACAGTTCAACGACTTTATAACTCGACCGTTGGTGCGCCTGACCTTTCAGAAATGGGAAAGAAAATTTCAACAGTCAGAAGAACGAACCGATTTTTTTCGTGAAGAAATAGTAGAGTGAAGCGAAAGCAAATGTACCGTGATCTGTTGTGGAAAATAATACTGAAACTTAAAAATGATAAGATCTTACAATTTTGGAAGTACTGAAAAATAAATGACATTAACTAAAGATGAAAAATTTCTATCAATGTGAAAGGGTTAAAAAAATATCCAAAAGCTCTACGAATAACTTGTAGATCGAAAGTCAATACTGCGATTAAGTGTCGGTGACTAGCTATTGAAAACTGTTTCATTTCTCATTTTAAACATACAATTCATATTCCCTAAGAGAAATTTGAATGCTTTTTCGTCAATAAAATAAAATTATTAGATTTAAACAACCTTATTTTTTACAATTAATATATTTTCGGTTTGTTAGAAGGCTGGTAACTGCAAAATGCAGTTATTTTTTTTAAATAAACTACTTAGTTTTAGCAGTAGAATTTAATGGATATAACAGTAAAGTAAAGGGAGTTCATTAAATTCATAATAATTAGCGTTGGCATCATATTTCATGGAACTCTATATTAGAATTTACATGTTCGAAATGAAATTTCCGAAATGTTATATTAGCCGCAACGAACTGATTCCCTGACCACCTGAATCTCTTGACATGACAACCTTGGATTACTTTGGAGAATTGTCAAAGGCAATACATATACCACAAAGTTGACAACATCAATGGGCTAATCTTTGGAATATGGTAAGAGGTAGTTTGGCGACATTTTGGTAAGGCGATAAAGGTTACTAGCTAGAACTTTAGTAGTGTACATGGATAAAGTCAAGAGTGTGCGCAGTGCCATTTTTGTGCAATTCTAGGATGTTTTTTTAAGTGAAAATTGGTTGACGTGTACATGGATACCGTGTACGTGCAATTCTTAAAAACGCGGCAAGCAGTTTGCGATTCTGCACTTTCTCCCAATTTCGCACCTAATCTTCGTCATGATTAAGCTCTTTTGTTCCATAAAAGTTCTAGCATAAGCGTCTAGCAGATTGTTGGAAAAAAATGTTGAGTTTAAAAAAAAAAAGCCTTTACTTCGTGAAAACAAAATGGAGTCTAAACAAAAACTAGCAGGTTGTGTAGCAGGGTTGGTCGCCAAATTTTCGCCAAAAAATCGCTGAGTTACTATAATCCAAAGATTAACCCATCAATGAACTAAAAAAAGAGCCGATGGCATCATTAATGGAGTAATTTTTCTGAAGTTAAAATATTGAAAATAAAATTATTTGAACTGCCAGATCAGTTACAAAATATGTGCATGAAAACACTGCTTTGTTTTCTTACCATTCACTTTTTAAAACAATCAGTTTTTTACGACCACCCCTCATTCTTATTTTACGATACGTTTTTGATGTTAAAGTATATTTATTACCTTTCTTATTCGGTTTCTGTTTAAAAAGTTTATATTAGAAATATTATCAATCTATTTTTGGCATTACAGCAATTCAGCTGTCGAATTTCCGACTGATTCATCACTATATTACTTTTTGCTCTTACGCTACACACATAGATATAGATATATGCATATATATGTTAAAAATATAAATTCACTAAAGAAAGAAATGCTAATATACAACCTGAAACCATATACTGCTCAAATTTGTAACCCCAGGCAGACATCTGCTTTTCTCTCTCCGTCAAATATAAGTCTCGGATGATCTTGCTTTCTGTATCAACTTCACGGAAGTATATAATCCCTTTGAATTTAGTCGCGCAGATGGACCAGTCACCATTTATTCCCATGTATGGTGTACAGAGAATGTGAGTCAAAGTGCCACGCAAAGTAATAAAATCTACATTAAAGCTGTATGGAGAAAAAGTACATTCAATCAAAGGAAATATATTTTTAAAATTTAACATAAAATACTTTGGAAGAAATGAACTTATTAAATGACGCTTAAAAAATGACGTTTTTATCAGTTTCTTCCCTTAAAGTGAATTATTTTCCGTTTAATTAAAAATACTGAAACAAGATGATAAAATGCTTCGATAGCTTACTCATAACAGTAACGGATATAACTGGTTATTTAAATGGTAAACTGAAATTGTGACAGACAAAGTTTCTTTAAATTAAATTACGCTTCATTACATGCTGACTTATGAACTTATTTTCGCTTAAATGGAGAACTGAATGTGCATTGAATCAGCTAGGTTTTCCTTTGTTAAATAAGAACTAATGTTCGTAATTAGGAATAGTGAATAAAATAACAAACGTTCATTTTACGGAGAAAATTTCATATTTTTTTTAATAAAACAGTACAATACTCACATATACAGATGCCGACCAGTCAGGAATCTGGCATTAAAGTTTGTTAGGGAAAAATCTTATTAAATAGCTACCGATAAGTGAAGTATCGAGTTATACAGTTGACAGTTGAGAGCAAAATCTGGACGCTTACTTAGACTATTCGGGTCTAGTCCAGGTTCCGCAACTATACGGGGCAACACCTCATGGTCCCTATAAGGGCATACATTGATCCTGTATACATACTTACATAGTTCATAATATATGCTTATAGTTACATAGTTCATAATATATGCTTACATAGTTACATAGTTCATAGTACATGCTTATATACAAGTAGTTCATAATATATAGACCTTTCATAATACGTGCTTACATAGTTCACACATATACATGCTTACATAGTTCATAATATATTGAGTCTGTTACATAATACATACATAGTTCATAATATCGAGTTATACAGGGCATCCATGACATTCACGAGCCAACCTTAAAGGGTAGGTAAAATACATATAAAGAAGCATTTTTATCTATAGCAGTGTGGCGGCTGAAAATGAAAAGTGTCAACGGAAAAGCAGGAAATGGAAAGAAACTCTTTCCGCCCATTAGCAATGATAAAACCCTGGAACTGTCGATTCAGTGATCGAAGTACATCGTGGCCGGTAGAGGGCAGTGGTACAAACAGTTACGCTGTATGTCTTTTCGTAAAAGATTTTTAGAGCAGACGATTTCACAAGTCTAGTGATGTAGCTTAAAGAAATGAATTTTGGGAAAGAAAAATATTGAATACGGAGGTTTATTTAGTTTGCACTATCAAATTCTCTGCAAGACAATTTTATTGAGTTTGAATGGCATAACATGAGCTTCAAGCAATTCTTTGCTCTTAAGAGAATTATCTGCGTGACGGAACAATTTACGCTCTCTGAGAAAGCAGACATGCATCTTATGTACGCGGCTGTGAACTGTAATGGAAGAGAGACGTTAAGGGTGTTCCATGAACATTTCTTCAATAGGACAAAGGCGGATCACAAAATTTTTCTGCATTTACGTCGGCAGCTTTGCGAGAGAGGTTAATTTCATATCGAGAGACCGGTTCGGATACCGGTCTCTCGAGTTATATACGAGTTCCAGAACTGGAAGAACGTATTCTAAGAGAGTTCGAAGATAATACAAACACTAGCACACACAAGATCGACTGCATGAACTACAGACGTGAAAACACAGGATGGGAAATTTTGCACAAGGGAAGACTTTTTTCATACCACTTACAGGGAACGCAAGCAATGACTGCAGCTGATTATCCTCGGCGCGTAGAATTTCTGACATTGGTTTTTGCAGCAAAGTACATTTACTCCGAGCTTCTCCGCAACTGTACACAGATGAGGTCACCTTTACGAGAGAACAATTTGCACTATTCCCATATGTGGGCCATCACCTACCCACTGAACATGCTACACGCCTGCATGGTTTCCAGGTATGGTTCTCTGCGTGGGTACTGTGAGTGATTTCCCCACTGGCTCATTCTTGCTACTTCAACGGCACAACGAATCTTTCTGAAATAGGTGTAGGGTTTCCTTTAGTTTAACTAACGTATTATTCAAAATGTTTTTATCCTTCCTGAAGTCCTCAACTTCCCTTCGCATTTCCTCGCCAGGATGTAAATTTAAAGTTAAGTGAAGTGAGTATTTAAACGGGTGAATATTGAAGTTTATTCAGAGCGTGTTTGCGCTAGGCAGCGTACGTTTCGTTGCTGATCTTGCTGTTAAGCTAATACGCCCCTTGGTCATTTCGGATAATTGTCACGCATGTTACGTTTGTTGAGTCAACCTAAGCTAGCCGTAACTAAACATGCTAATCCAGCACTATTCTATTTAGACTTGAATTGATATTACGTTATAACGTTCAAGTTCCACCGTAAGTTGTCCGTGTTATTGTAAAGCACGAAAATTCGCGCCTTCTGTTCTTAGTTTGAAGAATTTATAAAGGGTATTTTCATCCTTCTTCTATTGCTGGTATTTTTACTTTTACTAACGCCTGCCCGAGAATTCGCGAAGTTCATTTGTAGGATCTAGATTATTTTATGTGGTCTAAAAAGACTAGATCTTATAATGGTACTAACGAATTACTTGATAGTGTTCCAGTTCTTGTTCGAAAGGTTATGTGGTTTCAGTACGAAGGTGCTCCAGCCCATTTTCGCAATAATGTGCGGAACTACCTCAGCGCCACCTTAGACCCTCAATGGATTGGACAATATGGAACAGTCGCTTGGCTTTCACGTTCACCAGATCTATCAAGTACGGATATTTTCTTAGGGGACACCTTAAGGCACTCGTCTATGAAACTCAAATTGAGTCTGATGAGGACCTCTTTGCAAAACTTTCAGTCGCTGCTGCAACTGTTCGTGAAAGACTTCGTATCTTCGCACTTGGTATATCCTACAAGCTTATCGGTGGTGCACCATTCACTTGGTATATTCTACAAGCCTATCGGTGACGGTGATGGCACATTTGATTGTAATATTCTATAAATAAAGAGCATTTTTTCATTTTCTCAGCATTTCTTGTTTTCCACTCACATATTTCGGTTGATCTTTACAATATGGTAACTGGTAGTTTGGCGATATTTTGGAGGCGATAAAGGTTACTACCTGGGACTTTGGTAATAATGTGAGCAGTACTCAGTTCCGATTACGCATTATTTTGCGTGAGGGAAATGAGAGATCATGGGATATGTCATATGATATTAATGGACGAATTACGGTTCTTTAATCGGAAAAGGGGGGAAATCGGGAAAAATGTGGAAATTTTGTATTTAGCTTTATTCTGTGTTGTGTGAAACAGTGTTGTTTAATTTTTGGTTCCCATGGCCCTAACTAAAGTAAATTCGAAATGGGTATTTAGGCATTGTAATAAAGATAAGTTTGCTTTTTATTTAGCGGAGGAAGTATGGAGGAAAAATTCGCAGAAAAAATCTTTCAATAATTTTATTGAATGAATTAGAAAAGTGTATCCGCCACGTAATCAAGATTCTGAAGAAGATTAGGTAAGTTAGTATTTTTAATTATTTGAGGATATTATTTTTATGCATTGTTCTAAATGTAAGGTGGAAAGGAATTTGGTATTATTGGGAAAATTGTTATTAGCAATGATTTATTTTAAAGTAATTAGGATTGTAAGGTAATTTTTATTAATTTAATGTATGTGCTCATTTATATTTTAAGTATATTTATATTTATATTTTAAGTAGTGTTTTTGAATTTAATTATATTTTAATGAAATGATAGTTATTTTGTGAATTTTATGTTTGTAGGAATTTGGTATACGTTTAAGTTGAAATAAACGTGCATGGAAATAATTTAAATATTTGATACTAAGTATTTGTAATGCTTGCGGTATGAATTCGTTGGTGACGTGTATAATGTAAAAGATGATTTAGAGGTAAAAGTTTTTGGATATTTTATTTATATGTGGAAATGTTCATATTTGTAAAGGGTAAATACTTTTTCGCGATCAGGTAATTTCATATATGTTCTTTTTACCGGGTTTAAAGATTGAGAAAATTGTCATGTATTTTTGTGAAATTTTTGTAATTTATGAGAAAAAAACAGTGTACATGGATATAGTGAAGAGTGTGCGCAATGCCATTTTTGTGCAATTCTGGGACGTTTTTTAAGTAAAAATAAGTCGACGTGTACATGGTTTAGTGATATTTTAATTAAATGATAGTTATTTTGTGAATTTTATGTTTGTAGGAATTTGGTATACGTTTAAGTTGAAATAAACGTGCATGGAAATAATTTAAATATTTGATACTAAGTATTTGTAATGCTTGCGGTATGAATTCGTTGGTGACGTGTATAATGTAATAGATGATTTAGAGGTAAAAGTTTTTGGATATTTTATTTATATGTGGAAATGTTCATATTTGTAAATGGTAAATACTTTTTCGCGATCAGGTAATTTCATATATGTTCTTTTTACCGGGTTTAAAGATTGAGAAAATTGTCATGTATTTTCGTGAAATTTTTCTAATTTATGAGAAAAAAGCAGTGTACATGGATATAGTGAAGAGTGTGCGCAATGTCATTTTTGTGCAATTCTGGGATGTTTTTTTAAGTAAAAATAAGTCGCCGTGTACATGGTTTATGTGTATGTGTTATTTTGAAAAACGCGTAAGGAGTATGGTATTGTGCACTTTTTCCCAATTTTGCAGTGAATATTTGTCATGATTAAGCAGTTTTGTTTGATAAAATTTCTAGCATAAGTGTAATTCGGCTACTAGATTGTTGGAAGAAGTGTTCAGTAGATAAAAAGAAAAGAAACATGTCTTTACTTCGTGAAGACAAAATGGCGGCGGGGGAAAAAAATAGAGGGTTGCTGTAGGAGAGTTGGTTGCCAAATTTTCGCCAAAAAAACGCCAAGTTACCATAATGTAAAGATCAACCCATATTTCATTTCTGACCCCAATTTGCTATACAAAAAATGCTTCTTTAAATGTACTTTACCTACCTATAAAGTCTGGCCCACGTATTTGCTTCCACATATAGACGTTTGCCA